GATCACTTCCACTGGAGAGGATTATATCGAAGCGTACAGCGATATGTGGGAGAATGCGTAGACTGTGAAACGGGAAAAGGAAAACCTGTGATCCAGGGGGAATCACCAGGGAATTTGCAGGCGACATACCCGTTCCAGATCATTGTGATGGACCACATACCGTCGCTACCCAGATCCCACAGGGGGAAAACTGAGTTATTGATCTGGGTCGATCTGTTCACAGGATACGTGATTGCGAAAGCTAGCTCGTCACGGTCAGACCAGACGGTCGCAGAATCGTACGAAGAGTGTGTATTTTGGCGATTCGGTTCCAGCGAGATGATTCGAACCCGGTTTCATGTCCGACTTCTTCCGGTCGTTTAATAGGATCTGGGGATAGCGGCAGCAAGCGACGATGGAGTATCGGCCGCAAGCCAACGGGACCGCAGAAAGAATGGTACAGACGGCGACCAGGGCGCTCAAGATGTACGTCCTCGATCTGGATCAGATAAATTGGGATGAGTATGCCGAGCGTCTTACCTTCGCGATCAACACGGCCCACGATCGGATCCGAGGGGATACCCCTCATTATCTGGTGAATGGGTGGGATCCGAGATCGACGTTGGAGGCCACACTGCCAATCGGATGCACCAGACGGCGTGATCGAGACGCGCGGCGGCGGCGTTATCGGGTCTAACGGCATTATCAGCAATCGCGGGAGCAAGTCAACGCCAGATTGAGAGAGGCCATCGCGGATCGGGCCAGTCGACATAATGAGGACGTCGGATCACACCAGATCGAGGCCGGATCTCGAGTTTGGTTATATCTAGACCGAGTGAGAGAAAGATACGCCTGGAAATTGGCTAACGTGTGGCATGGGCCATTCTGTGTCGCCGAAAAGATCAACGAATTCACCACCAAGCTCGAGATCGCGGGCACCGGGTACCAGATCTTCCCCGGTCGTTCATGTATCGAAGCTGAAATTGGTCAAGGACTTTCCGGATAGGCCGCGAGTTGAGCTCACAGTGAGCGAATCGGATCGCCTCGACTTCGATGAGATCCTGATTCCGGAGGATAGCTGGGTCCCAGATCTCGGAGCCGACGAGTACGAAGTCGAACGGATCTCGGATGTGCGGAGTGGGAAGAAAACGCGATTCGGCCGGATCTACCGAGAATTTCTGGTGCATTGGGTAGGTTATGACGAGCCGACCTGGGTTGACGAAACCGATCTCAACTGCGGCGCAAAAATGAACGCCTTCCTGCGAGAACGGGCGAATCGTAACTTGTTCAATGTGATGCAATCACATGAGGAGATGTGAGGAGGACGGGGTGAGGTTGTCTGATCATCTCAACCCCGAAGAAATGCAAGTTGGATAAGACTGAGATCAGAAGTTCATGTTATATACGTGCATATGGGAATCGTCGACCTTCGTAGGGGATCGCGGAAGGCGTGATGGATCACTTAGGAAGAGCGACGAAAAGAGTAAACGAGTAGAAGACGTGGCTAAGATTGGTGAATTACGGGGTCGATGAGAAGAAATCGCGATCGTGGGATGCCGAGTGGGGATCATGGAGGTTTTCCCCGGAGTGAAGTCGGATCCACGTATTAAGGAGCCACTGAAGGGTTGATTTGTTCGCGAGACGAAGGATTTGCAGCGATGGATGAGCGGTGCCTGGATCGCGGAAATGGTTCCGCCAGGGATCTTCCTGATCGCACTCGAACAGGGCAGTGATCAAGTCGGTCAGCTCGGGAATATTCGCGGTCGGCCGCGCAAGATTGGCTACCTTGGAGGCGGATCCGGGATACCAGCGTACTCGATCGTGCGGCGTCGGCAGGTGGAAGAAGTAAGGATCCAGCAGGAGGTTGATATCTGCCTACTGGCTTCTCATCATCGGGAGGCATGCTCCCAGCAGTTTCCGCCAGCGATCTCCAACTCGGACGCGCCACTGACGCCGATCCTTGTGGTAGATGAAGAGATCGGAGTTCGAGGCAAGCGCATCGCTTTCTTGATCTCGAGGTAATGGGTGTATTCCCGATTCGCCATCAAGTGATCTTCCTCCAGGCCAGCATACGACACGGCGATCCGCCATAGAGGGGTGTTGCCCGCCGGTGAAGTTATGATCGAACGTCAGCGGAGTGGGACAGTTTCGTCGAAGTACGAGCCACGGCTCCATGGCCAGCAGGGCCAACACGTTCGCACCGGTGATCAACTCGGAACGGTAACCGGTCCGGGGTATAGGAGCTCGAACAAAGGGTGTCCGAGCAGGATACAGGAAGCCGGCCGGAATCGGCAGTCTCTTGGTCAGGGTGGCCTGAATCATGGCAATGATTGGTACAGACCCCACGATGGCCGAATCCCACGGGGTGATCTCGGCTGCCGTGAGCACCCGGACCGTGGAATGGCTGGGAACACTCGCCTCGGGAGGGAACAATGGCGGATTCAGCTGGAGAGGTGACCTACCACCGGGCGAACCACCTGGAGAACCACCACCTGGGGATCCACCTAGAGAACCGTGGGGTGAGGGAGGAGGAATCTCGGATCCATCCCCCGAGGTCGGAGACTTGTCATCGTTATAATCGTCGCCACCACCGCCTGGGGTCTCGTCCTTATCGTCGAGTTCCTCACGATCGGCGTGATCCCCACCCTCGGGGCCTTCGATCTCGGGGTTATCCTGGTCGTGCGGCTGAGAAGTAGGCCAATCGCCGCGGGGGGCTTGAGAGGCGGTAATTGGGGAGGAGAACTGGGCGGACTCCGAACACGTTTCGGCATCCGAGCCACTTGGCTCTCTCGGATCCGGCTAGCGCGATGCGTGAGGAGCAGATCGGCCTCGGTCAGATCGCCTTCGTCCAGATCTCGTAATTCGCCGAGTTGATCGTGGGCCTGCTGGAGGTCCTCCATCCGGTTTTCCCACCCCTGAAGTTCCAAGCGAACTCATCATCTGTGGAAAACAAGTGTCAGAGGGAGATCGCGTTAGATCGAATGATGAAGTTCACTTACCCAGCTGGGCGACGCGAGCCGCTTCAGTGAGGAGGTCCAGGCGAACTTGGTCGCGTTCAGCGATCGCTTGATCACGTCTCTGGAGGGCCGTGTCGCGATCTGCACGAGCCCGATCCCGATCCTCAGTGATCTGGTTGATTTGCGTGAAGGTCCGATCTCGATCGGAGGTAACCTGCGTCAGGGTCACGCGGGCGAGCGCAAGATATGCCAACGCGCGATCCCGGTCTGCCTGGACCAGACGGGTAGAACCTCCGAGAGGAGATCTCCCTCCGCGATCTGGTTGTGGATGGTCGAGGCTGGTGCAGATCCGGCTGTAGCGGCCAGAGTTGTGACGGATTCAGACCTCGCGTCGTCAGCTTCGCGCTCCAAACCGCCAACCTGATCCTGCAAGTCCCGAATATCCTCCCCGGCCTGGGCAGCTTCCTGGCGCAAACGATCGCGATCTGCCTCGGCATGATGGAGAACTGCTCGGGCGGAAATCGCATGACGCTCGAAGTCGTTGCGCTCGGTGCGAAGTTGGAAAACTTGGGTACGGAGGCCGTCGGGATCATCATCGGCGTCGTGGGCGAGGTTCGAGATCTCGGCCTCCAGGCAAGTGATCTCGTCTCGTTGGCCGTACTGGAACGCTTCCATGTCCCGGATGTCGGACCGGAGCTGGCGAACTTGCAGACCGAGATGATCTCGATCCCGGACGGGGCGATCCCGCGCGAGGTTGCCCTGGCGGAGCTCTGCCTCCAAGGTGGCTAACCGCCGACTCTGATCGGAGGCGTGGGAGCGTGAGCGACGCGAGATATTGGACTGGTGCGACCGGTGGCTCCCTGTTGATAGGGGAGAGTCGGGTGGTGTCGGTATCGGAGGATTCCCGAGGTCGCTACCTGACTGACACATGGGGACGGCTGGCTGTAGGCTGGAAAGGAGTGCGTCCGAGTCGGCGAATTGTGGGATGAGACCTGAAGTGAACCAGGACGGTCCAACTTGCAGGCTGAGGGCGGATGTGGTGAAGTGCGAATAAGATCTTACGAGAAAGGCAACCTCGGCTGCCAGATCGCGAGATAGAGACGGACCAGGCGACAGAAATCCCAGTCCAGCCAAGACATCAAGTCACCTCTCCAAGATCCAGCGTGCGAACAAGATCTTACGAGAAAGGC